CACTTTATTTCTTCCTTTCTCCAAAATCTTATTCATTCATTTTCTTCTGTTCCAGTTTCAGTCCGAACGATAGCTAAGCAATATAGTTTATACCAATAATTCACACAAATCGACTGCGTCGTGTAAAACTCCCCAGTACGTTATTCTGAAAAGTGACATAATGCAATGGAGTCGTACACTGAGCAGTCCAAATACACTAACTTCTTCCCCTGACCAGCCGTTATGACAATTGTTCCTGGTCTCTTGTTCCACTTTCACAACCCTTCACCCCCAGTCTACAATATCTAATCAAAACTGAAATGTCTGGCATCGCGGGAGAAATAAGGCGCTCGTTAAAATAAGGTAGTCAAAGGAACCGCTACTAATTTTTTCCGCCTGTTGGGCAATTTTGATCGAAATCCTTGTTTTGAGCTTAACGCCTTTTTGTTCGTTTAAAAACAAATTCTTTTCTGGATTTGACTGAAAAACATTGATCCAATGCACACAAACTGCAACAAACTTTGGCGGGTCATTTTATCGCTAATTTTACCCCTAATACCAGGCGAGCCCCACCTCCTTTAATCACAAATATCGCGACTTCTGTTCAAGTAAAACGCTCACTTAGACAATGAATGAACAAAGTTAGTCTCATACCACACACCCTAAATTGACGAGGACCTGATTCACTCTTTCACTATCGCGAACCATGTTTCACGGCTCACCCCTTCCTGCTTCAAAACCGCACCTACTTTTGACATAATCGAATCTGAAATCTCAGGCTGAAGTATGATTATTTTTAGCAACATGTTAAGATAGGTCAATATTTCCCCATTATTTTCATACGTAATGCATGTGGCTAATATTGAAAACTGAATTGAAAAATCTTCAATATGTCCGACGGTAGGCAGAATCAAAAAGTAGGTTACAGATAAGGCTCGGTCCTGGTGAGGAAAAACCCCCGGTAGTGAAAGAGTTAATTATTTTCCAGAGCTGGTGTCCATCAACGCCTTCCAGAAGGACCAAGTGAGACCGTCTCCCAGCATGCCGTCTTACATGATGGCACGGGGCGGGGTGGACAAATCTGGCGCCTTCCTGACACTGCAGTGGAGTTATCCCTCCGAGTAAGAATATCTTGTCTTGTCGAAATCCTAATTTCTTTATTCAATCTTTTTTTCTTTTTCTTGAGCCACGAACAAAAAAAGTAGAATACATGTACATCATTTTTCGAAGGGCTAGCACTCGAATCCACCCCCCCCCATAACAACAACAGAACCGAAAACAAACAGACAAACAAAAATAAAACCCCAAATAAACAAACAATAAGCACCCCCCCCTCATCCCCTCCCCCAAACACCCCCCCCCCAAATAAATCCCCAAACCAAACAGAAAATAATCTAGCGAACCAAGATTTAGAGCATATTTTTAAAAAGTTTCTCAGAATGAATAGTGTACTCCAGATCCCTCCTCCTGATTTGAAGGTTGTCATTTTTCTAATCCTATTCCCTTTCCCATCCACCCTCACACACACTCACCCACGGACCCTGGAAAAGTACAAATAAAATCAAACAAAAAAATTAAATAAAAAGAAAAAGGGCTACAATAACAAGGGCGACTTGAACAACAACAACAACAACAACAACAACAACAACAACAACAACAACAACAACAACAACAACAACAACAACATAAAAAATAACCGATAAAAAAACATACCCTCCACTCTGCCTCCCCCTATCTCCACAAGCTAGATCAAACAAGCAGCGCCCCCCTCCCCAAAAAAAAAAAAGTAAAAAAAAAAAAAAAGAAGTTTAAAACCAATTAAAAGACCCCTCCCCTCCTTCCCGCCTCCCCCCCTCCCCCTCAATAACCCCTTCATTTGTTAGCTGAGAAAGTTGGGCTTCGAAAGTTGACCTAATTTTGTCGAAAAGAGGTGTGAAAATATAACGTACTCATACTCCAAGAATAATAATAATGTTCGCCGCCCTCCCCCCTTCCTCTTCAACCCCCGCGCCCCCTCCCCCGCCCGCCCCACCCCTCCGTCACCCTATACAGTGCAGACATGGGCCTGTACATTTGCGAGGCGACCTTCATGCACACAGACGGGGACACGAGCACGGTCAAAGTGGACCGGGTGTTGAGGGCACAGGCTGCCGGGATAGAGCACGTCCTCAAGAGGCTGCAGTTGGTGGAGGCCAACATTGAGGTGAGTGAGGAGAGGTGATATAATGTTATTATCTCAGTCGAACCTGCTTTAAAAACGTCGCCATAATCAGACAGCCACCGGAACAATCAGTATGGATACCTTGCGGGCTTTGGTGCTGGGGGGAACTGAGCACTTATGGATCTGTCCGGTGTGCAATGACGTTGTTGCCCAGGACAGGTGATACAGGTAATCTCAGTCGAACCTGCTCTGACCCTTCCAGCCCCATTCACGTATATTTTCTGCAGTGCTTGTACCCCTCCACCGTCCCAAGAGCGTATTATTATTCTCAGTTTAGGGGGTTACAAATTTGCGCATTTTTCGTAAGTAGGAAACCTAATCGAACGTCAATTTTCATAAATATTTGTTCTTTTACTTTTAAAGATTGTTATATGTTATTATCTAAACCTCATTACAAAGATACTAAATCACGTTTTAGAATGTATGCCTCTTTTTCTGAAATACTGCTTTATTGGCTGGGACTGGGGTTAGCGAGCGCACAAAAACAGCTGGGGCTCGAAGGGCTAAAAGTCACTACTTGTCCAAGATAATAATCTGTGCAAATGACCTCTTCCCATTTCATCCATTTGCGCTTTGAAATACTAATTTGACTGCACTGCCCAAAACACCACGATAACAATCGCTTTTCTGTTCCACAACAGGTGGCCGTCTAGGACAGCTTCGACTGTAACTGTAGATTCTACAGCTTGTACACCTCAATTTACTAAATTACACAATTGAGATCAGTGGTGTCAGTTGTCTAGTGGTGAGGCTATCGAGCTCATAATCATGAGACTGCGGGTTAGGAGTTTCGAGGCTCAGCTAAAGTTTATGCTTTGTCCCTGAGAAAGGAACTTTACTACGCGAATTTCCTCTTTTTGGCCCAGTTCCATTGGAAGTGGAAGTTAAATTTGGTAAAACTTGAATTTACGATTTGTATGTTTTGTGCCGTGCTTCATAGTCACCAAAAGAAAAAAAAAAGAATGAAACAAGTATTAGTTCTTTACAAGACAACCCAAGTCGTATCGGTACTGTGGTGTTCTGAACTTTGTTTCTTTTCTTCTCTACGTTTAAGTTTCGATATCAGCCAATGTAAAAAACTCTCCTTAAAAAAAATACCCCTCCCCCAAAAAAAAGAAAAAGAAAAAAAGAAAAGCATCAGTTTCGATTTTTGATAAAATAAGTCTTGAAACTGATCTCTCCCAGCAAGACATTCAACGCACAAGCACTAGCCAGACAGAAAGTGGGAGAACCTGATAAGGGAAACGTTTCATAATTGTTCTTTGAACAAAGAATCTAGTCTTTTCTTTTAAGTTATTTTTCAATGGTTACTGTATTTCTTCTTTTTGCTTCCCATCCAGGACAATGCCCAAAGAGAGACAGACCTTCTCCGGCGTTTGGAGGGTGTGGAAAAGGACGACGCAGATTACAGGGATGCACTCTTTGCCGTGTCCGACTTCTTTGATAGTCACCGTTACTACCTGTCTGCCTTCCCGTCACCCGTGGATACCTGGGCTCAGGTGAACCAGTCTTTGTCAGAAAGTTAAGAGAAACAAAGAAGGAGAGAAAGAAAGAAAGAAAGAAAGAAAGAAAGAAAGAAAGAGAGAGAGAGAGAGAGAGAGAGAGAGAGAGAGAGAGAGAGAGAGAGAGAAAGAGAAAGAGAGAGAGGTATTCCTAGTTCATTCCTCTACTCCTCGTGCTGTACACAACCGTATACCCACAGATCCATGTCATATACATGTATGACAAGAATACTTTGTTATTAATCTTTAGCTCGTACTTCTAATTTTCAAACCATTCATGTTATCTGAGAATAAAGCAAATAAGTGTGTTCCAGTTATCCTTAGTAATCTGGACTTGCTAGATTATTATTTTTATTATTACTTATTATTATTACTTATTATTATTATTATTATTATTATTATTATTATTATTATTATTATTATTATTATTATTATTATCATTATTATTATTACTATTATTATTATTACTATTACAGGTATTATTATTTTTATTACTGTTATTGCTATTGCTATTGTTATTGTTTTTTTTATGAAACATTAAACGATTACTACACATATATACGATTAATGACTATGGAATTTCATTTTATTTTCTTCTCTTTTCCTGTAAACAAACAAACCAACCAAAAAAACCAAACCAAACAAAAACAAAACAACAACAACAACAACAACAAAAACCCCCACCCTCCCCCCAACAGAATATCTGCAAGGCAATGGGAGGCTACCTGGCCGCCCTGGGTTCCGTAGATGAGTACAAGTTTGTCAAAGAGTTCTTGGACACCCGAGTTCGCGTCAACAGCACAATCCTCCTGGGGCCGACCAGCAATGGGATGGGACCCCGCTCCTGGACGAATCGCCAAACTGGGTCAGTTTTAACTGTATTTTGAACATTATCATTATTATTATTATTATTATTATTATTATTATTATTATTATTATTATTATTATTATCGTCTTCGTTATTATTATTATTATCATCATTAGTATTATTGTTATTATCATTATCATTATTATTATTATTATGATTATGATTATTATTATTATAATCGTAACCATCATGATGACAACAGGCAACAAGTTAATAAGTATTGAGACGTGTTATTTTCATAATTTCAGGGGTTACTAAGGGAGAGCAACTAGATATCTGGAAGTGTTGTTAAGAATGTAAAGGGTTGCGTCCCTTGTCTGGCATAAGATAGAATGTAGCGCTTTCTCTTTCGAGCTTTATTTTCACTTTCAATTGTAAAAGATAGTTGTTAAAAAGTGCTTGTCTGTGCGTGTTTGTGTGTGCCAGTCTGTATGTTTGTGAGTATGTTCTTGGGAGGACATGGATTAATTATGTATATTGTTGTCGTTCGCTTTAAATAAAAGACTGATAAAAAAAATATACCAAGTTTAAACCTAGATGGCCCAGGTCTGTGTTGAACCTTTGTCCCAATATTTTGATGGTCAGTGTTCTGTATTTGAATCCATAGCGAGCTGAAGTGTTTAAAGAATAAATGTTCTCATCACTACATTTCTTAGGTCAGCGAGGATGCAGAAAGTAAAGGCGTCTTATACTCTCCCCTCCACCCCCCCCCTCCCCCCGAATATTTTAATGAGTATTGAGCTTGACTTGGTTACTTCTTGTTCCGGCGAACGGTGATTCTGGTAAAAGCAAAACTGCCCTACTTCACCCCTTCCCCAATACAGTCGTGCTTGACTTTGTGTGCTGATCTTGGGTCATCGTGGAAGGAGAAGGGGTGGGCAGTGAGGTTACAGCTATGTCTTACAAGAACTGGAAGCAACAGACCATGATTCTTCTGAAATAAAAAAGAGTTGTGGCTGGGTTTGGGATTGGGGTGTGGCTGCGGGTGGTTTTTCTACTTTACTTTTACCTCTATAGATTGCTATGTCCAGTCAATTAATAAGAATACAAATGTGTTTTCCACTGACACCCTCTCCCTCTCCTACCCAGTGGCCCCGTGATCTACACCAACTGGTGGAAAGAACCAAGGAGAGCAGCCAACCAGGAACAACGCAGCAAGTTCTGCATGGCGCTCTTTAGCCGTGATTTCGACACTCGAATGAAAGAGATTAACTGCGACATGAACGTTGTCGCCATGCATTCTCACTTCCTGTGTGAGGTTCCCTGAAGCACATGTCTGCTGGGTGTCCTAACTTCCGGGGCGAGGTCACGTGATGCTTTAGAGCTCCAGCATCTGCGAATGCCTTGGCAGCCTATACATCCCAACCCCCACGTTTTTTCTCCCAAACGGTAGCTTATAGGGACTCATAACTTGATCTATTGGTAAAGCCTTATTAAGAAATGAATTAGTCTATTTCACCATTTACAAAATGTCTGCTTTCTCCCCTCCCCTCCCAACCTTTTTATTCATATCATCTCCTATCTTGCTTGTAACTTTCCTAGGAGTGCTGATTGTAATATAAAAAAAGATAAAACGTGAATTATAACGTAAGTGAAAGATGACAATAAATATCTTTCAATTCCCGAAAATGTGTGAAGCCTTTTTTATTCCGGTGCATGTAATGCTAAACCTCGCATTTTTACTACCCGTTATTCTCACACGAATACTGCCATGGTGTGTCTGTTTAGTACATGTAATCTTTTTATTAATCCCGTCAATCACCAACACACATTATTGCGTAAGTACTCTTACATAATACATAGAACCAGGTAACCCTTCTATTAAGATAAGATAAGATAATACTTTATTATCCCACAGTGAAATTTTTCTTGGCTATACAGGACCGTAAAAATACACGCAGGTATACATAAAAAATTTAAATTATTGAAATAGGTTATTCAATTACCTTTGCAGTAGTATACTTTCATTGAAAAAATATTGCAACTGAATCAACTTGAACAAGGTACCCTTTTGTAATAGGCGCCTCTGAGAAAATTAATTTCGGCGTTTTGGGAGGGTCAGTGCAAAAAAAATAATTTTGGGTGAAAGAGTTAATCCATCAACTGATCTATTTTTCTTTTCTTTCACGTATCTATGTATCCGTCCTCAGCTCCTAAGGAATTCCCGAGTGGGGAGAAATTTTTATCGACCATCTCGGTCATTCGGCTGGGATGTTATATCCTTTTCAGCACGGCTTGGCCCTGAGAGGTGGCGTCGGAAGCCCGACCCTCTAGATGACCTAAAGTGTGTCAAAGGGGGGCATACAAACACTAGCATTTAAACTTTCAGTATGATATTATTAGGCTGAAAATGAATTAAGCTCTACGTAATTTTTTTTTCTGACATTTGCTCCCTCATGTTCTCATAGTGTGGACTGTGATAATATCTCTTGGACTGACAGTTTGTAACTTTCTTGTCTCTTCTACTCAACTGAAAAAGGTTGGATAGTTTGCTGTGGTGCTGGTGATCCGAGTGGTGTTGACCTATAGTTGTCCTGCTGGTTGTAGTTGTAGCATTTGTGGTACTGATGGTGATGATATCCTTGGAATGAAGATGATGATGGTGGTGATGATGAGGATGATGAGATGGAGACGCACATTCTGATAAAGGAAGCCAACAAACCATGTACGACATAAACATAATCTTTATCAAGGCCAGCCTTTAGCACAATTTCAGTTCTCAGGATTATTGTACAGGTAACAGCTTATGTATTTACAATAAGCTTCAAACAGCCGACGTGTGAGCAAAATACTGCGAATGGAGCGCCAACACAGGTTTCCTCAATGGCATCTCGTCGTCACTAACCTGAATCTCTTCGTTGTTTACGTTACAGTCATGCTCAGAATTAGAAACTCCGTGTTGAGAGGCTTCGTGTAATAAATCTGGAGTC